TAAATTACAACGTCATACTTCATTAGTTGCAATGTTAGCCCTTCGTTATTTTTTCTGTCAATTTCTTTGATAAATGCTGACGTGGCTTGAGGCAGGGCCCGCTCTCTAGCCCAACTAGATTAATAATTAATTAAATATCAAAAATTAAAAATTAAATCGTTTAAATATTAATTAAAAATTATGGGACCCACCTCTACAAACGACGACATCCATCTCCAAGCACCCCAACCTCACCACCTACCTCCACCTCAACCTCTTCCACCACTCCTTTGACTCCTCTTTCCTCCATTGCTCTCATCCCCTTCCATCCATTCCACATTTCTCTTCTGGAAGAAGCACAGCTCTAAGAACTCTCCCCACCAAAGATAGTGAGTTTATGTGATTTTATTAGTAGCCAAACAGAATTCAAGGCAAAATTGGGAAGTGGATTTTAATCCAATAAGCAAATTGAGGGAACATCTCGGATTAAATCGGCGACGTCAGCAAATTGAACCGATCCATGGCGGTGGTGGTGACGACTTGGCGAACAATGTCATCATCCTGGTAAAAGCCGAGGATAGAGGCCTTGCCTAATGAAATCCCGCAATACAAGACATTGACCTGGATTTGCCGTACTTGTTCAACTCTTCCCTAATTTTACAAAAAAAAAATTTAATTTAAAATAGTGAATTGATGAAAATGCCCTAGAGGTGAAATTGTTGACTTTCGTTGGCTGTCATTTTGTGATGCATATGAGCTATTATTTTATTTTATTCTTGAAGTACTCGACGGTACGAACGCATAGACGCAAGCGAAATCGAATTTGGAGTTACAACAAAGATTTTACAAAATTACAAAGGTAATGGGTAATCTAGTAAATTCACTATTTTGGATAAATTGTCCTTCATTATTTTATTAATTTCTGTTGAGATTTGTGTGAGCCAATGGGGCCTACGCCCATTCCTTCTGTGTCTCCATTTCTCCGAATCACCAATCATTTTCTGCCACCTCACCCTACTCATTTCTCTTTCAAACTCTCCCTCATCTATTTTCCATGTTGGCTCTCTCTCTCTCTCTCTCTCTCTCTCTCTCTCTCTCTCTCTCTCTCTCTCTTCTCTCTCTCTCTCTCTCTCTCCCTTTGTGAGCCTTCTTCCTATCTTGGACGCACGTCTAGATCGAGCCCAACAACCAACACCTCACCACTCTTCATCTGGTGAACCACCCAGATCACCATTACTTCCCTTAACGTGCTCAGGACACTAGGTTGATGGTTCGAACTGCATAGTAGCCATTGCCACTATTCATGATTTTTCCTTCGATTTTTAGTTGTTTCCGACGAAGGTGAGTCTTAGAACTCCCTCAATCTTTCTCATCTCACTATCTAAGTCTAATTTTTAGGTTAGATGTGCGTGTTGGTGATGTTTTGGTGCATAAAATACCTCGGAGACCTTTTCTTAGTTTTCCGTGAGAATCCAACGGCTTTTGAGCTGTTTTCCAACCAACTCCGACCACGGCAAAACCAAATAATGGTATAATTCCATTCCTCTCCTCTCAGGCATCAATTTGGTAGGTAAAATTTGAAAAATGGTTGAGTTCGAAGCTAATCGAAGCTGTTGAAATTTTCCAGCCAAACCAGCCCAGATTCGGCCTTCTTCTTGCTGAGTCCGACGAGTGCAACCCGCAAGCCCAAATGGATCAACCCGACGTGATACAGAAAAAAAACGAAGAAAAAGCCCAAGGCAAACCTAGTTCCAAACCAAACCAAACCCGAATCCGACCCGAACCCATTTAGGAATCTCCAGTTAACTTTAACAAAATATTCCTTTTGAGGATGAAATATTCCATTAAAGTTAACTATTGATCGTTAGTTGACTTTTGTTGATTGAAATTTTCTTGGAAACCCTCCTAGGCCAATTTCGATGCCCCAAGTTTGTTTTTGACATTCATTTAATGAAATTCCAAAGTTTTAATGTAGTTGACCGCTAGGGCGGTTCGGTTGACTTTTTGGGGTTAACTGTTGACTTTTTATGAAAAAATTGCTCGGGACCCTTCTTAGTGTAATTCGATGCCTTGATTCCAAATCCGCACTCCGTTTTCCCAAATTTAATCGTTTTAGTTGTGTTTTACTAATGGGTCCCAATATTATGCTTAGGTGCAATTACTATTAGAGACTCCAGCTTTCCTAGTTTGAATGGCTGCGACCTTGCAAGTATCTGTGAGTGAGTCTTTTTTTTCTATAATATATATATTTGTTTAGTTTCCACATACATATTTAATAATGAAGTTCCTACGTGATTGCCATAATTAAATTAACGCTTATAAAAAAAGGTCGTAATGTTGAGAATTATGAAATTATTCTGAATCCTGCGGGATGCATAGGTATGCGTGTGATGAATAGTGTTATGTTGACTAGAATGATTGATTTACCATTACATGATCATAGTTATGCTATTCACTTATTGTGTGATGCACTGGTGTTAGTACTTGTTCGGGCCAGGGTCAGTCTTCATGTGTATGTTCACATCGCATCGTATGCTCACTTTGGATCCATTGTAGGTGCCAGTCATGTCCTAGATTTCTATAGGTAGTTAGGACTCATATGTGATGCGCATAGTGCCAGTCTTCACATGATTGTAGTACTAGAGCGTAAATCATTATTACACCTTGTTCACGTCAGAATACCTTTGCATGAGCTCGTGTGTCAGCCAAGGTTCTAAAAAACGCTAGGCGCTAGTCGGGCGTCAGGCTGGCGCCTAGCGCCTAGGCGGCTAGGCGGGATCTAGGGAGGCACCTAGGCGGGCTAGACGGATTTAGGTAAATTTCTTGTATATCTTGTAAATAAGTGCATATTGACACTTACAAAAATTATAATTGAATGAAATTCATGGATAAGAATTTTTAGGTACATAATAAAAATATGGTATGATCTTTAAAATATAAGAATAAAACATTACAAAAAAAAAAGAATGAAAAGTAATGGAAAAGAGTTGCAATAAAAAATAAAAAATAAAAGAATGGAAAGTAATAAAAAAGAAAAAATAATAAGAAAACGTAATGAAAACATTGAAAAGTATAAGAAATAGTGGGGACCATTTCAAAGAAAACGTTGCAACATAAAAGATGGTAGGACCATCTTAATTGAATTGTGCAAAAAAGGAACAGTCTGGGAACAATCTTCTTCTTCTTCGCAAAGCCGTCTCTACAACAAAAAAAATTGCAGATTCCAGCGTCTTCATATAAGCCCGATTAGTCTTCACCCAGCCCCGCCCAGCCCCGCCCAGACTTGCATATCTCCGCCTAGTCCCGCCTAATCCCGTTCAACGCCCACCTAATCTACTTTCCGATTTTGTAGCCAATTAGGAGTTAAACGCGGTGGTTGGCTGCCTTCCAGCGCCTAGGCCGATTTTTAGAACACTGGTGTCAACATACGTCGATGGACACCTGTTAGTATATGTTAGTTTATTCGAGATATTGTGATTGCCAAATGTTATGTGTTTATTTACGAAATATTATTAAGTATTGCATTCTCGATGATATTACTGTTATAGTAAATATTTTCATATTATACGTAGTATGCTATGTTTGGAAACTATACATGTTTTATTACGAGAGGTTACTACGTTTTCAAAAAGGTTTTACAAAGCTTCATTTTCTAGGCTCACTCACCCTTATTTGTCACCCCTCCAGGTCTTAGTAGCAGAGCTTTCATGTCGACGAGGATTCTTGGAAAATGTTGCTATAGGAGAGTACCTTTGATGGTATAATTCTTATCCTACTGCTACTGTATTTTACTTATGTTTTGACATCACGAGTGAATTGGAGTTCAATCCTGCACAGTTGCGCACTCTTGCATTTAGGCACTTTTAGGTTTTAATTTATATTCATTTTCTACCTCACTACACTTTTATGGCTTCTCCACCTTATAGGCGTTGGCCAGCACAGCTCGATTTGAAGTCGAGGTGGACATTCTAAGTCAGGGTGTGTCAGCGGCTGAGAAGAGAATGTGAATGCTGAGGGAGGCAGAGGTAGGGTTTTGGTTGGGGTCGGTGGTTAGGGTGGGATTGGGTTGCCGACTTGCTAGAGATTGAATGGCGGCTTAGTCGGCTTGATGCAAGGATGATGACGAGGAAGACGGTGAGGACAAGGAGTGCTAGGAAGGAGAAGAGTAAGAAGAGGTAGCAGCATCAACCCTTGAAGGAAGCGGAGGAGGAAGAGGAGTATGACGACGTTGTTGGGTAGTAATGGTGGTGGTTGCTGCTGTTGTGGGGGTTTGAGGAAAAGGGTGGCGGCGGGATGCAGGTGTATTGGGGAAGAAGAGTGGATTGGCCATCATCCTTTCAAAGATTCCTACTCTTTTTTTAATAAAAATATTTAAAAGATTTCATTTTTAAATTTAAATTTTAATTATTTAATACTTATATAATTATTTAATCCAATTGGTTTAGGGAGTAGGCTCTGCTTCAAGCCACGTCAGCATTTAATAGAGCAATTGACAGAAAAATTGTTAGATGTCTGACATTGCAACAAATTCATATGATGAGGTATGACATTGTAATTTTTAAAACACAAGGTATGAGATTATAGTTTAGCCCATAATTGAGGTAGTTTTGTGTAATTTACCCAAATAAATGTTGTTGGGTGTTTCAAGTATTTGATTGGTTGTCTCAACAATTAGACCCCACAAAGAGATAAACAAAAATAAATGATAGATTGACATTATTATTTAACATATCAGATGGAGCAAAAAATTATACAAAATGTCAAACTACCACATAAGCCATCAAATATCATTTTGATGTTTAATATTTGACATCTTTGAAGATGCTCTTAATCTAAGTATGAGGTCAAAAAAGTTGTGCAAATTCATTTTCTCTTTATTTTGTTGGAAAATATATGAATTCCAAATTATGCTCCGAAAGTTCCAAGTTAACTCTAATGTCAAAATTTCTGAAACATTTGAATCGAGAAATTCAAATGAAATCCTAAGCTTTTCATAATCAAAATTAAAAACCTTAGTTCCGATCCGAAATCATCCCTCTACTTGTCTCCATAAGATACATATTTTACAACCAAAATCTGGTATCATATTGTTAAATCTAACACTGACTTCATTTGTGTGCATTTAAGTTTACATACAAATGACAAGAGGCAACAATCAAGAATTTCCGACTTTATTTTGTCTTCTCACCAAATACAACATCAAGTTTCTTTGCTCAGATCTGTTAAAGAATAAATCTTCCGCGACGCATACAATTTCACCAAAATTGCCGTGTACTGGTTGAACGAGAGTATGTATATATATGTTATAAGTACTACTATTGATACATTCAAGTAGTATACCTAACGACATTACGGGAACTGCAGAGAAGGCGGGATTCATTCCTTTTGCCTTTTACTCATGCTTTTACGCTTGTTAACGTCCAGATATTTCTTCCTTAACCGTATTGTCTTTGGTGTAACCTGCACATATAAAAGCATCGCGGGATTATTATCGCCTGAGCTACAACTTTTACATAAAACAAGCAACTTTTCCTTCTTTAGTTAATGGCGTAAATACAAGAAGTGATAAAACGAGATTATTCTGTTCGTTCATTTCTAATTCTTTTTTCTGGAATTTATAAGTAAATAAGAATTTTCTCCACTAATTCAGCAACACCACTATCACAGATTCACAGGATACTCAAGCATCAATTTTATATAAAACGAGCAACTGTTTTCCTTTTTGATAGATTTATGACGTAGTTTGAGAAGTTAGAAAATGTGATTATTCTGTTCGTTCAGTTTTTAATTTCCTGGAATAAGTTAGTAAATACAAATTTTCCCAACTAATTCAGTAACTAACGTCTCTATTTACTTTGAAATACTGGAATACAGGTAGGAATCATGAACTACATTTTGTTAAGGATGAACCTCAGTTAATAATTTCTGTGGCAATATATCACTACCAGGTATTAATCGCAAATGGAAGGATAAAGTTAAAATCAGACTTACCTCAATCAGCTCATCAGAGGCTACATACCCTATTGCTTCTTCAAGAGTCATCTGCATCCCAATGCTTTCAGATGTTAGCAATCGCTTAACAGATAAAAAAGATCTAGCAGTAACATTTACAGCAATGATCTTCCTATTATTTTCTGATTTCTCCAAACAATAGGAAGATCGTTGTCCATAATCCATATCTTTATAATATGGCTACAAAATAATCCCAATTAAAGTACAGTGACTATATGATGCATGCTATGAAACAAGAATAAAGAGGAAGAAATTGGTTGACACGTACAAGGCGGGGAGGAGATAGTTTCACATTCTCATCCTTGCTAGCAGCACGTATGTTTGTAAGTTCCTTATTTCTAACTGGGTTGACCTGCACAGTCAAGGTCAGTCAGCTAAATATCACACACTTTTCGATAACCTAAACATAACACAACATCAAACATGAAAAGCATAAAATGTACTTACATCTAGATCTGTGTCCCTCGAGTGCTCGCCAACAATCATGCCATCATATGTCTGTATTAATGAACAAAACGGAAACAAGTTTAATATCAAGCAAAACCAGGTTTAGCAAGTTCCTTTACTATAAGATACTCGAGATTCTAAAATTTCTTTAAATCAAACTGCTTATCAAGTCTTCTAACATATACATTTCTATAAAACACAGCTTTCATCCTTCTACTAGTCACATATTTTTCACCTGTTATTGTGGTTTGAAATCAATTTTTATCCTGGGCCATTCTATATCAGTTAATTTGCCCCAAAAATTACAGAAAGACCAATGTTCTAGTCCATAATTTTTCACTCTCTTTATAATCTATAAATGAAGAACAGCACCACACTCAATTTCTTCTTCTTTATGCTGTCGGAACACGACCACGCTCATTTCTTGGTTAAAACCAAGGATCTAAAGTATTCCAACCATAAAAGATGTTTTTCGGCAGAGAGGCAATGGTTAAAAGCAACAAACTGATATCTTATAAATAAGCATCCTTGAGTCAATATGAATTAGTTTTATCAAATTTTGGGAAAGGAAAAAGACAAGCAGCGACATGAACTGATCATATGTGTACTAACCTCCATCCCAGGAGTGACAAAAAGAGTTCCGCGAGGTTCTAAACTCACTAGGGCATACGCTGTGATTGTACCATAGCCCATTGACACCTATAGAATTAAATACAAAGACATTAATTGTCATCCAACACATACAACTTTGATATAAAAAACCAGGTGTAACATATAGAAGATTTAATAAGATATGTTAGAAGCAGAATTACATCACCTTTTGTTTTCAATGAGGGAAATAGTGCTTACAAAATTTTATTTTTATTTTTTCATAAGCCATAACCATCAGCCAACTTTAGATCAAAATATAAAAATAAAAGCAGTTTTTCAGAGACATCTCTAGAGTTAAGATGTTAAATAGATACCTCTCCTTAAGAAAATAGCAGTTTGGTCAAAAAAGGCATTTTAACAATATGAAAACGGAGTACATTATAAATCTAACGGCAAGTACACACATACCAACACTCCTTTCCTGACATCTCCAAGAGGACCTCGATATTTCTCATATTCTGCATAAAACAGATAACATGCATGAGAATATTAAAATCAAACGAAACTTCAATCAAGCAACAACAAAGCTAAACAATGTAAAAACGTTTATACCCGATATCAGAAATAAAAAAAATAAAAAAAAAGTGTACTTCTAACAAGAGGTTGTAATCATTCTTATTGATTTTCATTCAGAACAAGCTAGTGGTCCACTCTCCACACTAGCGCATCACAGTACTATATTCTTCAACTATGAAGGCTACAATACTTTTTGTAACAGAAAAAAAAAACAAATTATAGTACTTTTTAGCGCTTGCAATCAAAATAAGAACCGCAACATGCATTCCAAAGTAACAAAGCAAGTTTAACAGGATAAACATTCTGGTTAAAGTGTCATACTCTGTATCCAAACTTATATCATGAATCAAGATTAAGACGAGTTATATTGCATATTATAACAAAACAATTTTAAAGATCTAGAGATAAATGAAAAACTGAAAGTTGATTCACTTTGTTTTAAAACTGCTTTTAAAAGGTAATATTACAATATTTGCGGTTTAGACAACTTGCATCCATCCAGACTTTTCTGTTAAATATTTCAAGAACATTCCTTATAGTGTGACTTGTCTTGCTTGGAGAGGAGTTTTGTAGCAAGGGCTCTCTGAGTTAGTGTTCTCTCTGTTGGTTTAGTTTTTATTTTTTTGGGGTTTTGTGTTTCTTTTGTTGTTTTAGGTGTTTCAAGGACAACGTGGCCATGCTTCTTGTAATTCCCTTTGCTCTCTTGATAAAACTTGTTTACACACACACACACACACACACACATATAGGGAAATTTGCACAAACTGGACTATTAGGGGTGTGCACATCAACCACCCAACTAAAAATCTTGCCACCACCCAGATTCAACTTCTAGAGTGACAATTTCTGCTAGAAATTTCATCAAAACTCATCGTGTATTGGGCATGTGAGCACTTTTTCTTCTCACCACTCTAAGACCCCTAGACAAGTTGGGATAAGAACTTTGTTGACTACAGCCTGTGTTTGAGGAAGGGGTAGATATGCCCCAAATCTAGGTCTTTAAGTGGATTAAATACCCTTGAAAAAGGACTCACCTGTTTTGCAGATACGTTTTGACTAATGTTTTAAGGAAACTAATGTACGTGGTACATTTACACTAAAACAAGAGTCTGGGTTGTAAACTAGCAAGATTTTTAGTTAGGGTGGTATTTGTGCACCCTAATATATATGCATATAGGCACAAATATCTGGACACACACAATAAAAACCTTGCCACTAGAAAATGTCAAATGGAGGATTTCCAGTCTTAGGGTCACGTCACGTCCGGGCCCAATTTAGGTGATGAACAATCAGGATAAGGTTTAACTCCCTAGCAATAACCCAATTACATGATAGATTCACAGGACCAAAAAGGCAAAGGAATGGAGAGGTAGGAATAGCAAGATGGGGGAAAATCATACTTAAGAAAGCACGATGCATAAATCCAGTTCCACGTGTGTCACTGCTAAATACGCTTCTGTAACCAACCAGGCCCCTGAAGAATACAACAGAAAGGATCAATTCTATTCTTCAAAAGTAATGTCGTATTGATTGCCAAAAACCAGTCATCAATACGGGGCCCAGTTTAAAATGGAAAACGGTAAATGATAATCAAATTAATTGATCACACGCTTTGAAATGGTTAAAGATTATGTAATTCAACATTGGTTGTGCAATGGTAAGTAGTCACCATGAAACCAAATGAGTAAGATGATAAGATGATTTTTTTTTTTCCTGATAACAATATCAATATGCTACAGTATATAATGATTGCTTATACGGCAGAATAACAAAAATGAGGAAGAAAAGAAGAATTGACATTGAGAGGGCAACAGAACCTTGATGGACATGTCAAAGACAATCTAGTCCGGTCAGCGCTTCCTGGAACAGGACCCATATCGATAACCTCAGCACGCCTATTAGATAAGGCTTGCATTACTAACCCCACATGCTCTTCATTTACCTGAAAATAAAAGCCAGTGCATATGAGTCTCATTTGTTGAAAGAAAAGAGTAGCAAAATTTTACATCTGAAAGTCTTACCTCAATAGTAACTTCTTCAATTGGCTCAAGTTTTTGACCATTCTCTGTTTTGTACCTGATTTAGTGAAAGCAAAATTGCGCCAGTTGTTTAGATGAGTTATTCAACAATAAAAAAGATAAACAAATAATCATACAATAAATAGCCGTGTGTGCATATACATATACTAATATGTGAGCACATGCCACATACACATACACACCCACCATAGCCGTAAATATACCAAAATAAACAGAACATAGGAGCTGTACCTGAATAATCGCTGATTCCCTTTTTCAAAGATATCATGTAAAGTAGAATTAGGGTATTATACATTTATTGAGAAGCATATGATACAACATTACGCCTATCGATATCTCACAAGGAAAGTACTTCAGATTTTGGTGCAAATATTTTGTTGGTTTACCAATCTAATTGAGCATCTTAATATATCTCCGTCGTATGGATACTTTTTCCTTAAAGAAAAAATTATTGGATTGGGGAATTCCATGTATACAGAAAAAATGCATTGCAATAAAGCAACAAAAGGGTGCCTCACATGACTTTGGGTGGTGAGACAGACAGTTCGAAGCCTTCCCGCCTCATATTCTCAATTAAAATACCTGTTTTCACAATATGAAAACTACATTAGCAATATGTTTAAACTCAATTTGCAATGAAATGTAGAGAAGAAAGCGGGACAGAACCTTGTTAACATAAGCAAAACTCTGTCTATTTTTTATTAATAATTGACATAGTGTCTCTTGGAATTAAACAATGAAAAGGGAAAATAACTGCAAATTTAAGAGGAACAAACCCAGTTGAAGTTCTCCCCTCCCCTGAACTTCAAATGATTCTGATAAGCCTGGGAGAACATTAATGGCAAGATTTGTTTCCGATTCAGCTGATAGTCGATCGCCAATTTTTCCTCCAGTGAGCTACAGATATAACACCATCAGTGTATCAGATTATGCAGAGTGGTCCATAAGTCAACCCATTCTAAAGATGCAGTCATCAGCTTTTTTTCTTACATTTAAGTAGAAAGGAAATACATAGGGAGGTAAGGCCATGTTAAAACTTCAAATAAGACACCGCATGAACAGTAACCTCAAAAACATTTGTCGAGAACATGCCTACAGGTTGGTGGACAAAAATAGAATTTTGAACATTACCTGAGAGGACAGAGTACCCCTAGCAGGAGTTATTAACTTATTATTATGCAAGTTTAATGAATTCATTACTTAGAACTTAGAAGTTGCTGGACATCAGCCATATTCCTACCATGTTCATGTCCTATATATTTTCCATTGGACATGTAAATCAAATCCTACTTTAACGTCAAATTTAGGAAAAAAACATAGATGATAAGAATGAATTACGACACAAACTGTCCAATCTCTAATCTTCCTATACAATTGGTCCGTATATTTTCCCTGTAAGTTTATCCGACCAAGTACAGATTTTCTATTCATAAATCAATGATTTAAAACCAAAAGTGAGAGTATAGGTGCATAAGTTTATCAGTATAACAATAAAACAGCTAAATGAAATACGGTTATCGATGATAAAATGTAGTATAAATAGAACATGTGTAACAACTGATTGCAAAAAGGAAAAAATCATGACTTACATGGGTACCATCACGACCAGCTAAGGGAGAGTCATTGACACCAAAAGTCATGGAAATAGTTGGGGGATCCAACTCAACGGTGGGCAATGCAGTCATAATCTATCAGAAGCAACCATACGTCAGTTTTGCATGGAATGTACCACCATGACATATTATAAAAAGATACAAAGTTTCTTCAAAAGAGAAAGATTAAAAATTGAAAACCCTGGAGTGATGCTAAAAATACCACTGCAAAAAAAGAATTACAGACCGTAATATTTTCCATCTTCTTGAGACAAAAGTAGCTAAAGTAATCGAAGCAATTAATTTGAAAGACAAAACACAATTGATGTAGGCTACCAACAACAAAGGGAGCTCAGAAAACTTAGAGACCCCAGTACCAAGCCTTCTCAAGATAGGACTAGGAACAGAAGTACAATGGATACAGGAAAATATACAACGAAGCTATTATTCATATTTGCTAAAATAAAATAGGAGAAAATAAAATGAAATGTAATTGTGAACGAACAAAAACTAAGTCTAAAACCAAGATTGCATCAATATACCTCAACGCTTGCAACTGTATGGCCAATAGATGGGCTTGCTAACCCAGCCATTGACACTATGTCACCAGCTCCAGCACAATCAATTACGACCATATGTGTTCCCTTCTTTTTCATCAGCTTCACAACCTGCAGGAAAAAAAAAAAGTTATCTAGTACATTACAAACAAAAACTTAGTATTGTAAGATTTTAATATTTCATTTGAAGTTGAGCTTTGAATACTGTAAAAAGCCGCAGCACTTTGAGTACAAATATCAAACTTTTCATTGTTCTCTGAGAGACGGTGATGCTTCAGAGGTTGTTTTTCATAACAGATTCTTAGTCAGAGAAAATAAAGCTAGAAGCCTCAATAATCTAATTAACCAATTTCAAACTGATGGCTTTTGAGGGCAATAGTAGTTGAAGGGGTCATTCTAAGAATTATTAAGGAAGCCATTTCAGATATGTCATGGTGAACGCTACAAGAGCTTTAACCCAACATGGGTAAAATCTCACTGTCATAAAGAATCAAACATTGTCCACTGCAAAAGAAATTCATTTTTAAGTTTTAACAACCATGAGGCAAATATAGAACCACAAACCTTCCCTTCTTCAATTTTCTCAACTCCAGAATCTTTGTGACGAAGCCCATGAACTCTGTCACCAATGCGAATGCTGCCAGAAGAAACTCGTCCGGTCAATATTCGTCCAAGGTAGAAGTCTCGTTCCATCATAGAAACCTTACATAAACATCAATATATGCTATTTTAATTTTTCCAGTACTATGAAATATAAAAATGAACAAGAGGAAAATACAAAAGTTAGTCATTTATCCATTAAGTTATAACAGAAACAATAATAATATTGCTTGGCCAGTTTGTTTTACCAGGTCAAAGAAGATGACACAGGTTTTACAGCCACAGAATTATAGATTTCTACAGATGAAAGTATGCCAAAACAGTTCACAAATGTTATCACATTTGACACAAGAAACAAAAAGATGCAGTGCATAGTGAACAAAAATATAGGAAAGTAAGAAAACAGCCTTCATTTAGAACCTTTTTAATTCTCTACAGCTAACAAGAACAACAGCATCATATGTGCACATGGAAATCCTTCATAAATAATATTGACTCAACCTGCATATTTCCAGCTTAAAGGGGAAGAGGAGAGCACGCAGGGGATAAGTATACAAACCAGCATTTGGAAAGGTGCCTCAAGATTGGCTGTTGGTGGAGGAACATGACTTATAATGGCATCAAGCAGTCGTGACATATTTCTTGCATCAGCAGGAGGATCTTTGGTGAAAGTGGTGGAAGCCCATCCTTCTTTAGCAGAAGCATACAGCACAGGAAAATCTAGCTGCTCCTCTAATTCAAAAATAGGAATATGTTTAATTAGTTTTTCATCCGACCAATACAAAGTTATGAAAGTGAAAACTAAATTTAGTACATAACACAAAACCAAATGGCAATGGGTGGAGAGGCTCAGCATTTTGTATATTGTGATGCAAGGCTTCACATATCAGATGTGAGATTTTTGTATTCTCAACATGCCTCCTTATTTGTGGTAGGATTGAGACAAACATGTAGATAAATTATATTGGGTAACAAAGAACATGTGTGGTCAAATTGTGTTGAACATATGAATGCAGTGCCCACTTTCATATGATCTTAAAATTTGAGCATCCAACTCAAGATCAATTGGCTAGGTGCTGAGGCCCTTGAAATGCCCAAAGTGATATTTTAAAATCTCAACATTCCCACTAACATATGGCCTGACATATGGATGAATTTCTTGTTTCCAACCCTGTCAAAGTTCGAGTATCCAACCAAAACCAATTGGCAATGAGTGGAGAGACCAATATATTAGCTTGAAATTCACGATATGGGATTTTCTAGTCTAAAAAAATAAACCACAGCAAACGTAGGTGTCACCATGTTGATTCTTGTATATCCATACCTGTAGCACCAAGATTTGCAAAAAGATCAAACACCAAACTCTCAACTTCATTACACATCTCCTCAGAAACTGCATAAGCACAAGAATTAATAACATAAGCACTAATCCAAGTAACGGAAAATACAGCACAATAAATTGTGATGTACGAGATGGAAATTGTTTTCTTTTTTGGAAATGAAATGAAAACTATTTGCTAGAAATTATGGCAAGAGGAATGTGAAACAATAAAAGGGAACAAGGATGCCAAATAAAACGAGACAAGCCAGACACACAGACACTAGAGAGACCATTATGCACAAACAGAATGCCTTCAAGGAAGCAACCAACAATCTTCATCACACAACACATTCTTTTCTTAGAGAGTTTACATGTGTTTGCTTGTGCCTTGCGTTCATATATCGTAAATAAAACACCAATTCTATGAGTGGGATTTCGGTTGGACGAACCCTGCCAACTCAAACACGACCCAATTTTTGGATAACTCCACTACTTGGAAAAAGATAGTTACTAAGTTTAACAAATAGAGAAGTTAATAAGCTAAACAAATAGAGATGTCAATCTTTAACCCAAATCAAGAGTTCAAAGGATTATGACGTCTTCAACTGTCCAATCCAAGCAACGAAGGAACCCAAATACCCTATAAACAAAGAACTCCAAAATCATCCAGACTGCTAATGTCCTCCGTTAATCAACAATCCCATTCTATAATTATTCGTGCAATATAGGTTCAACTTTTCAACTTAAAGATGCACCAAGCGCGAATAAGTACCTGCAGGACGATCTACTTTGTTTAGAAGAAGAATGGGGCGCAGCCCATATTTTAAGGCTTTAGCAAGTACGAACTTGGTCTGTGCAAGCGGACCTTCCCCAGCATCAACAACTAAAATTGCACCCTCAACCATACCAACAACCCGCTCAACCTGCGTAGCGATCCACAAAAAAAGTAGCACAAGAGCAATGAAAATGAGCAATCAACATGCATAAACATATATAATTTGCATCCATTGAGGGACAACACAAAAACATTGGTCATTGGTTTCAAAAAGGAGCTTACTTCACCACCGAAATCGGCATGTCCAGGCGTATCAACCATGTTCAACTCAATCTCCTTCCATGGAATTGACGTGACCTGCAAATCATTTTAAGGTAATTGATGTAACCACAATCAAAGACAACCAAAGTAAACAAAAGCATTTCGATTTCTTTAAGATTTCAGATTCCTATTTGCATAGCAACATAGGATTACACTCGAATACAAAGTCAGTCACTGACCTTGGAGGCGATGGTAATTCCGCGCTCGCGCTCGAGGCTGATGGAGTCCATGGCTCGTTCGTGGGGGATGTCGGCGCCGCACTGGCGGAGCAGGCGATCCATGAGCGTCGTCTTGCCGTGGTCCACATGGGCTATTACTGCCACGTTGCGGAGGCGGCTCGGATCCAGGACGGTGTTCGGGGAAGTACTAGCATTGGAGGCCGCAGTGGCTGCCGAGAAGGCGCGTGCGAGTGGAGATGCACGTGGGGTTAATGGGTAGGGTTTGAGAGTGGGGGACGCAGAGGAGGAAGAGAAAGAGTTGCGCGTGGAGGACCAGAGAGAGCGAAGCAACGGCCCCGCCATTTCTAACACCGAGAGAGAAATGGCAGACTAGTTCCCGTACAATTGCCTGGGTTTAAGGTTTAACGTTGTTTCTGATCGATAGGGTTTAAGACTTGCACCCGAACATAGAAAATCTAACTTCCACTTTTCTTACATTTGCACCCCATGAAGTTTTCAAATTGTATTAATTTACACATTTTTTTCTTCTTCTTTGAACGTCATCTTCCATTCAATTGAAAATAACATTTACATGAAGATGTCAAATTAAAATGTTAAATTCATTTATATAGTCGATGTGTGACACACCCCGACCCTAAAATCAGGGCGTGCTGACCGTCACATGTGCATGACGTAACCAAAAGTGCGACGAGGAAGCAAAAAGGTAAAAGAATTACGAAGGGATAAAAAACAACTACTAGCAAAATATCCAACTAACATGCTAGAGTGAGTATAAGTGTGAAACACACATAATCAGAGCATAAGTATTAGGTGCAGTCAAGTAGGACCATTACTAAATTACAACACCTGAGGGTGAGTCCTACATTTAGGTAGTCTGTCAGAACGCCGTGGAAATCCTCGTGAGCCACAACACTGCTAACTAGAACCTGAAGAGGCGCAAAACAAGATTGAGTGGGTCAGTAAAACAAAGCTTTTCGAAAATATTTCATTTAATAACACTTCTAACCCCTCGCTGTAAAACCTGTATACTTTCCCAGAAAAATAGTGTATATATATATATATATATATAATCATATATAACAGCAAAACTCAAATCACAAGTCTTTAACACTTTTTAGGAAAATATGTCATGTTATGCTTCAAAACATAATAAGGATGCATCAATATAACAAGTGAAATAAGGAATCAACCGGAGACCCTACAGTTGTCCTATACGGCTAATTCTATAGCTCAATATCTAATCCAACCAGAGTCACCAACTGTGACCTGTACGGCACTACTCTGCACACAAATCGGAACTACCTGAAGTAGTCTGTACGACAAGAATGGTGTAAGAATACGCTCTAGTGCTTCTCTCATCAACAGTTGTATAATAATCTAAAGTCACCTACAAGTCGGAACCAACTCTAATGGTCTGTACGACATGTCGGAATCACCTCTAGTGATCTGTACGACATGCACCTACTTGGATCCAAGGTAAGCGTGTGGTGCGGGGTGAATAATATAAGCACTAACACCGGAGGTGCAGGTTATGAGCTCTCAACATAAATCACATCAAACAATAAATCACATGAACAACATAAAACTCACCTGATATTCACATGTGCGTCCACAGCACCATTTAACATATATGCATCAAATACTAGTTCATATATTTCATATAATATATATGCATGGCATTTTAAAACAAACTTTCATTTAAATTCAATTTCTGGGAAAAGTCAATAGTATATAGGTATAAACACAAAACAATTGCCCACTCACTGGTATGTCAAAGGGTCGTAACCCCCGTGACGCCCTTGAATGCGCTCGTCCTCAGGGCAGGTCTCACCTATATGCTAAACAACTATAAAAATGTTATTTTAAAGCACATAACCAACAATACGTAATAACTTCTCATACGATACTCAATTTTGGTATATGAATATACCACAGTGACCTTCTCGATGTCACGGACTTCGAGATATTTTTAGAATAATTTTTCAATGCCACACGCGCCCCCACGCACCACGCTAGGAAAGGCACGGTGCTACGCGCCCCCACGCGCGTCATCCCTTACCTCCAGACGCTGGAAAATCTCGCCAATGCCGGAAACTGGGCAAATTTGTAAATGCCCTTTTCTCGCTTGATTTTGCACCATTTTCCACGAAATTTTCACCAAAATGTCACAAATCACGAGAGGAAGAAGGCTATACCTCTTTGGAGCCTCAAAACCTTCAAAATCACGTGGGGAAATTTCTACCAAAATCGGCCACCTTCGAACCTTATGATCCCGACATCCAAAACCTTCAAACGAATGTCCCCGAGCTTCGTGGGAACCTCCTGGAGCTCACTGTGAGCTTGGATTGTCCTAAAAACCAACCATTACAAAGTTTGTGAATAGTGCTCAATTCGGAGCTTGAGTTTTCAACGTGAAATCGAAAGGTTTCTTACCTGAAATGGGTACCAGAGAGTTCGTGTGGTCTCCAAGAGCACGATGGTGGTCTCAAACATGACGATCTGTGAAGTTTTGATGGTCTTTGGGTGTGGTCCGTACTAGTTCGAATGGAGAGAGAATGGACTGAGAGAAAAGAGAGAGAGAACCTGCGGGAGAGAAAGAATAAATTGATTGGTGTGTGTGTCCTTCTAAGTCCCTAACCACACAATTGCATACAATTTAATCCAACTTAATTTTTTTCCAAGAATTTAGGAAGGTATGCATTATTCAAATAAACATGTCACACATACCTTAGCAACATTTAAGGGTAATTCCGTCAATTCACATCAACGATAAATGAAATTTCGAGAAGGACTGTGACAATCTACCCTCCTTATAGAATTTCGTCCTCGAAATTCATACAACCAATCAATCCACTAGTACTCATAAAACAACCTTGGATACATCTCTCTCATTCGATCTTTTGTCTCCCAAGTAGCTTTTTCTACTAAGTGGTTCCTCCACAATACTTTTACCAAGCTCACTATCTTATTCGTTAGAACCTTGTCTTTCCAATCTAAGATAGTCACTGGTTCCTCATCATACGTCAAATCTGGATTAATCTCCAAAAATTGAGGAGGAATCACATGTGAAGGATCTGAAACATAATGTCGAAGCATCGAGACATGAAACACATTATGTACCTTAGATGACTCTGGAGGCAACTTCAATCTGTAAGCAACTTCATCAATCATTTCAGTGATCTCATAAGGTTATATGTACCTAGGACTTAGCTTGCCTTTCTTTCCAAACCGCACTACACCTCTCCAAGGTGACAATTTCAAGAATACCAAATTACCCATATCATATACTCGATCAGTGGCATGTCTATCTGCTAAACTCTTTTGTCAATCCTGGGTCGCTTTCAGGTTAGACTTAATCACCTGAACATTTTGAGTAGTCTCATCCACAATCTCTGGGCCCTCTAGCACTCTTTCGCCAACCTTTGACCAACACAATGGCGTATGACAAGCTCTACCATAAAGTGCCTCAAATGGTGACATACCAATGCTCGAATGAAAACTATTATTGTAGGAAAATTCCATCAAGTCTAGGCGATCATGCCAAAAATCACCAAACTGCAACACTGAAGATCTCAGCATATCCTCTAACGTCTGAATAGTCCTCTCTGATTGACTCTCTGTTTGAGGATGATAAGTAGTGCTATAAAGCAATTTCGTACCAAGAGCTTCTTGAAAAGCTATCCAAAACTTAGAAGTAAATTTTGGATCTCGATCAGAAATAATATTCACTGGAACTCCATGATACTTCACAATCTTCGTGATGAACAACTTAGCCAATTTATTCAGGGGATACTTTTCCCTCACTGGAATGAAGTGTGCTGACTTGGTAAGCTGATCTACAACCACCCAAACGCCATCAAATCCATTCTGTGTATGTGGAAGCTTATACACAAAATCCATAGTTATATTTTCCCATTTCCACTGAGGAACGGGAAGTGGTTGCATTTCTTTCTGTTTTGACTTGCTAACAAACAATACACCTACTTACATATTCTGCAATTTCCCTTTTCATACCCGGCCAATAACAAAATGGTTGAATGGTATGGTACATCTTAGTTCCTCCTGGATGCATCGCATAAGCCGAACAATGTGCTTTATCCAAAATTTCTTTCTTTAGTTCCTCGTTATTCGGCACATACATTCTGCTCTCTTGCATAAGCATGCCATCTGATTCTCGAATCCTGAGATCTTTCTTTTTCCCTTCATTTCTCAATCGGATCATTTCTTGGATCTCTTCATCAACCATCTGAGCTTCAAGTACACGATCGACCAAAACTGGTCTGACTTAGAAACTAGCAAGAAAAGCTTCTCTTCGTTCTTCTATCTCCAACTTTACTCCAGTAGCTCTCAAATATGCAAGAAGAGGAACACGACAAGCATACAAAGCATTAAGTCGACTATGAGGTTTCCTACTCAGTGCATCAGCTACCATATTTGCACGACCCGAATGATACTCAATAGTGCAGTCATAATCACTTAATAACTCCATCCACCTTCGCTGGCGAAGATTAAGATCATGCTGAGTAAAAAGATACTAAAGACTCTTATGATCTGTGAAGATCTTACATTTCTCACCATAGAGATAATGCCTCCAAATCTTCAGAGCAAAGACAATGGCTGCCAACTCAAGATCGTGAGTAGGATAATTCCTTTCATGAATCTTCAACTGTCGAGAAGCATAGGCGATCACTCTATTATGCTGCATCAAGACACATCCCAAACCATTCAAGGAAGCATCACTGTAAATCTCAAAGTTACTACTATCGTCAGGAACTACCCATACTGGAGCATGAGTGAGGCAATATTTTAGCTGTTGGAAACTTTGCTCACAATTCTCGTCCTATTCGAACTTAACATCCTTCCTAGTTAACTTCATTAGTGGTAAAGGAATCATAGAGAAATCTTGAACAAACCGTCGATAATAACCTGCTAGACCAAGAAAACTCCGTACCTCAGTGACGGTTTGTGGTTGTTCCCAATTCTCCACTGCTGCTATCTTTTGAAAATCTACTTGAATTCCTTGTGCTGATACTATGTCCCAAAAATGCCACTTAAGTCAACCAACATTGACATTTGCTAAACTTGGCATACAACCGATGTTCCCTCAGTTTCTTTAATACTAAGTTAAGATGTTGAATATGATCTGCTTTCGACTTAGAGTATACCAGAATATCATCAATAAAAACAATGACAAACCTATCAAGATATTGCTGGAATACTTCATTCATTAACCTCATGAAAGTTGCAGGTGCATCTGTCAATCCAAATGGCATCACCAAAAACTCATAATGCCCATAACGGGTCCTGAAAGTCGTTTTAAGTACATCTTCATCTTTAATCTTCAACTGATAGTAGCCAGATCTCAAATCAATCTTAGAGAACACATATGCACCTTTAAGTTGATCAAACAAATCATCGATACAAGGCAATGGATAACAGTTTTTAATCGTTACCCGATTTAATTGCCTGTAATCAATACATAATCTCAAAGTTCCATCTTTCTTTCTTACAAACAACATCGGAGCTCCCCAAGGTGAAGTACTAGGTTGAATGAAACCTTTATCAATTAATTCCTGTAATTGGATTTTCAACTCTCTCAATTCAGCTGGAGCCATTCTATATGGAGTCAAAGATATAGGATCCGTACTTGAAAGCAAATCAATCGAAAACTCCACATCTCTGCCTGGCGGCAATCCAGACAAATCATCTGGGAATACATCAGGATAGTGCCTGACTACTCCAACTTCCTCTACACTACTAGGAACAACATCATCTAACACCACATGTGCTAAGTATCCTTGACAGCCTTTTGATAACAACTTTTTTGCTCTCATGGCAGAAATAACACCATGTCTCACCCCTCTTCTTTCACCCACAAAAGTAACCTCTGGTAGTCCAGGATGATGAAAAGTAACTGATTTCTCGTAACAATTTATATGGGCACGATTATAATGCAACCAATATGCCCCTAAAATCACATTAAAATCCACGATATCTAACGGGATAAGATTAGCTGGCATAACTACACCATCTACCATCACTGGACACCCTGGATAAACACTATCAACATAACATTTGTCCCCTCTAGGCATAGCAAACTCTAAATCAAATCCTAGAGGTGTAGGGTGAGCTTGTGTCATTTGAGCAAATGTATGAGAAATCACAGAATGTGTAGCACCACAATTAATCAAAACTCTAGCAAAGTGACCAAAGATGTTTAACGTACCCATAATCAAGTCCAGCTGGTTCTGAGCATCTTGCAGTGAGATGTGATTAACACATCCATGAGCTTGTTGTCGTCCTCCACGACCTCTATTACCTTGATTACCTCACCTCTGAGAAGTACGTCCTTGTCCTGTCTGGCTAGACTGCCTAGATGGTCCTACACTGCTAGCAGCAACCTTTCCCTGTCGGGGCTGACCTCCCTGATACCACTGAAATTCGCTAGCTGGCATGGAAGGATATGAAGTATAACCTCCAGGATCTTGGGAATACCCTGTATGAAAATAAGGATCCTAGGAATAATGATATTGTCCGGAAGCATAGGGAGCAGCATCACCCTGATAGTGGTAAGCACTACCACGACCCGTCTGACCATAACTGCCTGATCCAAAGTTCTGCTGAATCGGCGCTGGAGGTGGCATAGCAGACTGCTGAGGCCATTGTTGACTCTGGGGACACTGTGCAGCTCTATGTCCTAACTGTCCATAAGTGTAGCAACCACCGCCATTTCTCCTACACTCTCCATGATGTTTGAAATTACAACGGCGGCACAACGGATAACCTGAACCACCAGCACCACCAAAGTCTCTCTGTCTCTGAAACCTGGGTCCACCAGTAAATCTTCCACCTTTCCACGGGCCTGTGACACTAAATCCTCCACTAGAAGAACTCGAGCTCGCTCCACTTCTCTTGAAATTCTGTGTCTTACGGGGTCCCTGAGTGGAGATACCTTTACCCCTGTCATCTTTCCTTTGATTATCATTCTTATCTTCATCTTCCTCACCATTACTAGGAAGGTTTTCAGAATCCTCAATTCGAATCAAAATCTCATAAAACTCATGGTAAGTGGTGTAAGGAATCGCACTAGCAAACGTCCGCCATTTCCTCTTAGTTCCCTGCTTAAAACGGCGAAGCATCTCTACCTAGTTACCAGCTGTATCTGGATCATAGCGGGATAAGTCTGTAATTCCTATAATACTTATGCGCCAACATATTCTTTTGTTTCAATTGAGTGAACTCCTGCTTCGTACGATCAATGTACTCCGGGGGAACAAATCTTTTTTTTTTTAAATTCTCTTTGAATATTTCTCAATCAGCTGCCGCATCAGGTGACATAAACTGAGTTTGATTTTCCCATTAAGCTGCAGACTCTCGTCCTAAAAACCAAGTAGTGGTCTCGCCCCATCTATTAGCAGGAACATTCCCTTGACTCTGCATCACCTGAAAGGTCTTCTCAATACGGTCTAACCATTTTTCTGCCCTTTCATGACCCTTCTTACCAATGATGCAGTCTAATTTCAAATTATACATAGTCTCCAGGGGTGTTCTCTGAGGATGACGGATTGCAGTTTGAAAGGCATAGGTCATCGCTTCCCCTAATTAAGTTATGTCAGGTAAATTAGACTCAGAAGCACGACATGATTCCCTACGACGCGACATAGTTCTGACAGAAGACACCAAAAGATCATTAGAGCATTCACAATTTATACAGGGCTGCAAACCTAGGCTCTGATACCAAACTGACACACCCCGACCCTAAAATCAGGGCGTGCTGGCCGTCACGTGGGTGTGACGTAACCAAAAGTGCGACGCGGAAGCAAAAAGGTAAAAGAATACCGAAGGGATAAAAAACAACTACTAGCAGAATATCCAACTAACATGCTAGAGTGAGTTTAAGTGTGAAACACACATAATCAGAGCATAAGTACTAGGTGCAGTCAAGTAGGACCATTACTAAATTACAACACTTGAGGGTGAGTCCTACATTTAGGTAGTCTGTCAGAACGCCGTGGAAATCCTCGTGAGCCACCAACACTGCTAACTAGAACCTGAAGGGGCGTAAAACAAGATTGAATGGGTCAGTAAAACAAAGCTTTTCGAAAATATTTCATTTAATAACACTTCTAACCCCTCGCTGTAAAACCTGTATACTTTCCCAGAAAATAGTATATATATATAACCATATATAACAGCAAAACTCAAATCACAAGTCTTTAACACTTTTCAGGAAAATATGCCATGCTATGCTTCAAAACATAATAAGGATGCATCAATTGACAAGTGAAATAAGGAATCAACCGGAGACTCTACAGTTGTCCTATACGGCTAATTCTATAGCTTAATATCTAATCCAACCGGAGTCACCAACTGTGACCTGTACGGCACTACTCTGCACACAAATCGAAACTACCTGAAGTAGTCTGTACGATAAGAATGGTGTAAGAATACGCTCTAGTGCTTCTCTCATCAACAGTTGTATAATAATCTAAAGTCACCTACAAGTCGGAACCACCTCTAATGGTCTGTACGACATGTCGGAACCACCTTTAGTGATCTGTAAGACATGCACCTACTTGGATCCAAGGTGAGCGTGTGGTGCGGGGTGAATAATATAAGCACTAACACCGGGGGTGCAGGTTATGAGCTCTCAACATAAATCACATCAAACAATAAATCACATGAACAACATAAAACTCACCTGATACTCACTTGTGCGTCCACAACACAATTTAACATATATGCATCAAATATTAGTTCATATATTTCATATAATATATATGCATGGCATTTTAAAACAAACTTTCATTTAAATTCAATTTCTGGGAAAAGTCAACAGTATATAGGTATAAACAGAAAACAACTGCCCATTCACTGGTATGTCGAAGGGTCGTAACCCCCGTGACGCCCTTGAATGCGCTCGTCCTCGGGGTAGGTCTCACCTATATGCGAAACAACTATAAAAACGTTATTTTAAAGCACATAACCAACAATACATAATAACTTCTTATATGATGCTCAATTTGGGTATATGAATATACGACAGTGACCTACTCGACGTCACGGACGTCGAGATATTTTTAGAATAATTTTTCAACGCTGCACGCGCCCCCATGCGCTGGGAGAGGCACAGTGCTACGCGCCCCCACACGCGTCATCCCCTACCTCCAGACGCTGAAAAATCTCATCGGCGCCGGTAACTGGGCAAACCTGTAAATGCTCTTTTCTCGCTCGATTTTGCACCATTTTCCACGAAATTTTCACCAAAATGTCACAAATCACGAGAGGAAGAAGGCTATACCTTTTTAGAGCCTCAAAACCTTCGAAATCATGTCGGGAAATTTCTACCAAAACCGGCCGCCTTCGAACCTTGTGATCCCGACGTCCAAAACCTTCAAACGAACGTCCCCAAGCTTCGTGGAAACCTCCTAGAGCTCACTGTGAGCTTGGATTGTCCTAAAAACCAACCATTACAAAGTTTGTGAACAATGCTCAATTCGAAGCTTGAGTTTTCAACGTGAATCGAAAGGTTTCTTACCTGAAATGGGTACCAGAGAGTTCGTGTGGTCTCCAGGAGCACGATGGTGGTCTCAAACACGACGATCTGTGAAGTTTTGATGGTTTTTGGGTGTGGTCCGTACTAGTTCGAAGGGAGAGAGAGAATGGACTGAGAGAAAGGAGAGAGAGAACGTGCGGGAGAGAGAGAATGAACTGATTGGTGTGTGTGTCCTTCTAAGTCCTTAACCACACAGTTGCATACAATTTAATCCAACTTAATTTTTTTTTCCAAGAATTTAGGAAGGTATGCATTATTCAAATAAACATGTCACACATACCTTAGCAACCTTTAAGGGCAATTCCGTCAATTCACATCAACGATAAATGAAATTTCGAGAAGGGCCGTGACAATGTGGCTAAATATATTTTGTTAATGATAATGTAGGGGAAATTGTTTATTTAAACTGTATTTTGTAAATTATATGTTGTGATTGTTAATGATTAAATTATTAATATTATCATTTTTTTCTATTAGATTATTATTATTTTGGTTAGTTTATCTAGCATTACTGTTTGACAATTTAATCCCATTTAACATGATCTTTAAAAAAAAATTAGTCACTTGTTGATTTCTGTCATCACCACGTCTTAGAAAAGTATAACCCAAGCTATTCAGTAAGAATAATACTTAGTACTCTATATACTCACTCTTTTATTGAACAAACGATATTATGTACATTAAGGGATAGAAGAGTTGGTTAAGCCTCAAAATAAATTAGCAATAATGCGATTCATATTCGCTTTTAGCAAAAATCGAATTTAAAAATACCGCATATGTTTTTACAATTAATAAATTTTTTAATAAATCATGTGTTAAAATATACTTAGATAAAATCAAAAGTAAGAAACCAATCCAATCAGTAATCCATCTCTCTTTCCACGACTAGAGAAAACTCTGAACCCACCCGTAAGTAAGGAGAGTGAGGATTCGACTCAGAGAAGAGTGGGAATCCAATCTCGTTTGAGCAATAATCAACAGTAGACAGGCCTGGCTGCTTATTTAAATGAGGTAAGCTCTCTGATTCTCGTGTTGTTATTTGTCATTGAATGCCCACTTCCTGTTCGACAATATTCCTCTGAGACAAATTCCTTGCATTCTTTTTTGTTAATCTCTGTCCAACCATTATCCTTATCTCCGTAGCATCTTTACAAGTTGGTTTGTTTAATACCAACTGCAGATTCACGACGTGACATCAATCCCATGTTATTTGTTTCCCACCTACCTTGTGTTAATATTTGTTTAGAGTTCATTTGTAATCCGGATGTTGTCACTTCCATTTGTATACTCATCTCTAATACGTAATACGTAAACCGAAAAAGAATTTCAAGTTAACCATTCAGCTACTGTATGTTAATGTTGTTGCCTTGATAAAATTCTTCAGGTTTGGTTTTGTAATTGTCGAGGTGGTGCCCATGTCATGCAAATATTGATGCAACACAGTCTACAAGTACAACATGGCTTTGAGAGCAGCAAATGCAAAGCTTTGCACATCTCTTCTTCCTGTACCTTGTTGTCTCCTGCAGCATCGTTCCTGTCACTTGATCACTTCATCTCAAATGTTCCAAGAAACCATAAGAAATACGGTTGAAGCCAAAGCATACGAGAAGATACCTGATCTCCTCATTTCCTCTGCCCAAGCATGCCAAAACCTCAATCCTTTCTCATTCCTTTCAACCTATCCCAACAACCTTAGAACACAAGTGGTTGATCAAATTTTGCAGTCTTTCATCCCTCTAAGGCCTCGTTCTAGAGCGCAGATTACTTATTCCTGCCTCCTTTCATTTACACTCCAAAGCTCCAATCCCTTCCCTCTTGCTCTTGCTATTCTCCAACGAACTCTTCGCTCTGGCTGCGTCCCTGTCCCCCAAACCCTTCTTCTCCTCTCTTCTGCTTGGATGAACTGCCGGAAAGAATCTCTGTCTGTGTCTGAGATCTTATTGGATATGCAGTCAATTGGATATCATCCTGACTGTGGAGTGTGCAATTACCTGATATCTTCTTTGTGTTCTGTTGATCAGTTGAATGAGGCGGTTAAACTCTTAAAGGGTATGAGTAGGGTAGGATGTATTCCTGATTTGGAGAGTTTTGACACAGTAATTGGTGCAATGTGCACTGTCAGAAGAACAGCCGAGGTAGTAGATGTGATTAAGCAAATGGTGGAGAAAGTTGGGTTGACTCCAAGGCAGGGGACAGTTATGAAAGTGGCAGCAGCATTGCGAGCAAACAAAGAGATATGGAGAGCAGTTGAGATGATTGAGTTCTTAGAGAGGGAGGGTTACCCTGTCAGCTGTGAGAGCTATGAATTGGTGGTTAACGGGTGCTTGGATGTGGGTGAGTATATTTTGGCGGGGAAGGTTGTGATTAGGATGACGGAGAGAGGTTTTATACCTTATATCAGGACCAGACTGAAGGTTGTTGAGAGGTTGGCTGGCGCTGGTGAATGGGAGCTAGCTTGTTCTGTGAGGCAACGATTTAGAGAATTGAAGTCGTAGCTCCCTGTATTTCTTTGAGGCCATGGATTCCAGTTCTTTACGTCGATGGGAGCTGGTACTCAGTCCATTTGAAGTATGGGTTCGATGTTCCTTTTCTCTGCCACTAAGATTCTTAAAAGTCTGTTGTCATTTAATGGTAAATTCATGGTTCTTAATTCTTAGTGCTAGGGCCAAGAAGAGTTCGAGATGAAAAATAACTTCTTGATAGAGCTGAACAAGTTTGTGCTTGTAAACTTATTTGGACCCATATGTAACAAAATTTTTATTTAGCACTAAAAATATCAACATTTTGAAAGAAACCTAAACAGATAGTTATGAGATGAAGTATTTATTGTTTTAACAAAGTGAAGGTAGGATTTGAAGAATAGGAAAATTTTCAGCGTAATTTCAATAGTAGTCCTCTTGTCTCTAGGCTTGGTAATTTTTCAGCTTATTTTTTCTTAGAGTAGCTTTAGGCATGATGAATGGGTTTAGGATCGAACGAGGATCCTCTTTGTGATGTTATTTCTCTTTCCCAGAAACGAAATTCCTCTTCTCCTTTTGGAATATGATTGATAACTTATAGTTTGGTTTCCCTGTTTCTTTCTTAACCACTTTCTTTTCAAACTCTAAACCGCTGTGAACTAAACTAAACATTTATTTGCGTCTGTATAGAAAACTCAGCATTTCTCAGAATAACAATTGGAACATGAATTAATGATGAAATGCTAATAAGATATGCCCATGTTATTTGATAAACTACATAATCTCAGTTAATACGCATTATGTTTGAATTATTTTCCTTGTTTTCTTTGTACTAATTGGAATTCCATGGTTGCATATTTTACCTTGTTACTATATAGAAGAAGGTTAATTTATCATACTGCTCAAGCCTGAACAGGGTAGCTAGCCTGCATGGCAATGCCGCAAGTACCTTCCTTATCAGCCGAGTTGCGTGTTATTCTTACATAACCAGATTCACCCCAGTCAAGACCCCAGGAATTCTTCACAATCCAGTACTTTTTACCACTATCTTCTCCATACCCTACTGCGGTGACTCCATGGTTGAGATTCTTTCCACAATAACCAGTGAAGATACCTGAAGAATAGAGTTGAAAACCATAACTGCCAGCATCGATTGCAACAGAGACAGGTTGGCGAGCAACTGCGGCTTGTAGGCTTTTCTCGTTATTGACAGGTATTCTTTCATAGCCACTTATGTTCACAGCACGTCTTTTCAATTTATCCTCGTCACAGGTACCCTGTAATCCTTTGTAGGGATAATCTTCTTCGGTGGAGAGTCCGTTATCTTTTATGAAACTAAACGCTTTCTCCATGAATCCACCACTACAGCCTTGGTTCCCAGAGTTGACATCGCAGTCCACAAGTTCTTGCTCTGATAGTGACACCAAGTTTCCAGTTTTGATTTTGTTAATTCCTTCAACAGCTGCTACGGCTGAGAAAGCCCAACAACTTCCTGCATTGTAAGTGTAGAACTATCAGACGTTAATATGCTCAGCAGGCTGAACATCAAGGACATGTGAGTATTATCTACAACCCAACTTTTTATCATTGTTTGTATATCTTAAAGCAAAAACTGTATTAAGCTTTGGCGTCTTGGTATTTACTTGGAACATAATAGAATATACATTTGTTGTAGAATAATTCCAGAAAGTACGAAACTAAACTTAGAAAAGTAATTCCTGAACCATCTTCTAGCAGAAAAACTGAAATTTCAGGAGCATAAAAAGGGGGAGAAATAAAACGTAATTTATACCACATTTGCCTTGCTCCTTGATTGGAGTTACCGCACCACGCTTTCTCCAATCCACTGTAGTCGGCAAATCTTCTTCCTTGTCATAGCTGAACCTCATCTTTAGATCTCTCCTAGTTTGGAAACCCATGTAGTTTGTTGTGAATTCTATGTTTGTGATATCTGCAAACTTGTTGTCGCTGAGTTTGTATGAAAGATTTTGAGAATTTATGAAATCAACAAACTCAAGGTTGGATTTGTATATCCCAAAACGGTATGCCTTTTCCTCTTCACTCTTATATTTTCGGCCATATTTGTCCTGCCACCTTTGATATCTGTGCCTCATGGCTTTGGGGTCACCCTCTAGAGGCTTGTACTCTTGGGCACATGCTGTAGATGATATGCACAAAATGCACACCATGAAAAATGTTAAGCTAGCACGCTCTAACATCATAAAATGTTTGCTTGTCGATAGTCTTGAGATTAACAATAGTATTGATTTCTAGTTTGTGTTTTCTACGTGTTTGAGTTCAAGTCTTGTTTATAGTACTACGATTCGAGGTGGTTTTGAAACGGATAGTATTGTTTTGCTCATGCTTTTTGTGCTTGTGAATTTTGTTAAGGCTTCTTTATTGTGTACTTATGATGAATGAAGTGTTTAGGCTACATATAGAGGTGTTGTATTCACTACGCTAACCCACAGATAGAGTGCTGCTATGTTGTGATATTTCGACTGGTGGATATCATTTCGCAGGTTATATATGACGATAAATGATTTTTGCACTCTCATTTTCTTTTCTTGCAGTTTCTTTTTGTTAGTCTTTGGATGGAAAATAAAAATCAAGAAACAAAAACACAAGAGCGGAAATCGGTTGTAGACTGAACTCGTTTGCTATCTGACTAGCCTACATATTAAACAGCACGTCGGATAACAAGTATGGCCTTAAGTTGCTGTCCAAAATTTAGGAGTGCAATTTGGGTTGGGTCAACCTGAATATGTCCATGCCCATTTCAAATCCGATCGGACAGGTTATAATGAAGAAAAAAAGCCCGCCCAAACACAATCAAACCTCAACATGATCATTTATTGGGTGGGTTGGGTTGTTGTCTTGCTCGGCCATGTCAACCCCAACCCAACCCGACTTTTTGAGTCTGAATTCACTCAAGCACATAATATACCCTCCCACTTCATATTATATAAGTTTTGGAATGACTATACTTGAACTTTATTGTTGGTTTTCATATGGGTAATAACAAATGAAGTTTTACTTTGATATTTCTTTTGGTTGAAGCTTTAGTATACGTTCTGAAATTTAATTTCAACTTTGCATGATTTGAAACATTAGAAATAGTCTTCAAGTTGTTTGTTTTAACTTTTGTGAGGATGATGATGTGTAAATAAAATTTTAATTAATATTGACGTTATTTGGTTCAAAATTTGAAAAATCATTCAAAGTATAGTGGTATAAATAAGTGTGAACTCGATAAAGTTGAGCGAACCTGAACCTAATCCAAACAAATCCGAACTAATTAAAATCCGAACCCGAGTAAATCCGCATGAACCCGAACCTATCCCAACCCAAACTCAAATTGTGAAGGTTGGGTTAGGATTGGGTTGACCATTCAACTCACCCAACCGGCATGAGTTGCACCCATACCAAAATCTGATTAAGTTGTGGTTCATGCAAATGATCATGCTAAAGCTCCCAACACGTAATGAATTAAGTTGAGCTAAACTCCCAAACAATGGCTTTGTTAATCAAACCCTAAATCTCAATCATAAACCACCCCACTAATCGTGATTAGTGCCTCCTGGAGACTTCCTCGATAAAGGCAAATTAATGCATATTCTAAACACCCCACTAATTATGATTAGCACTGCCCCCCAAACACTTTCAGATTATCCTGATTTATTAAAAGCTACAAAAATTCTAGTCGAGGTACTGATGGAAAGTACCACGAAACTTATACCCCCCTACATGTGGGTATGGTTCGGGGACAAAGCAAAAGAAGCTTAGAACGTCCGAACAATTCACATGGGGAGTGTAACGTGATTCCCTTTCCTACTGCCTCATGTGCCCCAAATTGCCCTAATCCCACTAATAAACTATCTTATTATTGCCAATTCAACCAGTTTATACTCCTAATACGGGTCCACCCCTTGGTTTCGGTCTGCGTGGTGATTTTTTATTTTAACAAACAATAGTAAATGCCCTAAAACCATCTCCAATTTATGGGATAAAACTTAAAATATAAGCTTTAAATCCTCCAAACCATCTCCAACCATTGGGTTAAAATAAGCCTTAAGGAGAAAATATATCTCTAGGCTAGATTCCCTTCAAGATTTAAGTCTAGCTTAAATTATTCTAGACCCATCAAACTGTTATATTTCAAACATTTTTTTTTAGTTTTTTTTTTACTTATAATCTAACAGCTGTGATCAATGAGATCAAATCTAATGGTTAAAAAAAGATTTGACGGTTCACAATTAAATCTAACGTCTAAAATAATTTAAGAAAATTAGTTAAATTAAATTTCACTTAAAACTTTATAAATACCTATGTATTTATATGATTTTTAATTACTTATTGGAATTTAAATATTTTATATTAAAATGTTCATAAAAATAAATAGGATAGTCTGCAAAAAATTTATTTTCAAAAAAGTTACCAAAAAAAAGGTTAAATTCATTTTTTAATAATCTCGGGCTAAAATTTTAAGCCATAACTTTTGGAGGAGAAAAACAGTTTTTGGGTTATGGTTTAAAAATTTTTGGCTTAAATTTTTAAGCTTTATCCCCTAGGGTTGGATATGGTCTAAGGGAGTGAAGGAGTGGGTTAAGTCTCACAATGAGCTAACAATAATGTGGTTCACATTCGCCTTTGGTGAGAATCGAATCTAATACCTCGCACTTACAAGTGAAGAGAAACACAACTAGACCATAGTACTAAGTGGTCGTCAGTGTAGTGATTTATGTTTAGGTTTTTTAATCATAAATTGTCTCTGAAATTGACCCATATTATTAAGATGGTCTCTAAAATTGAAAATCGATCAAAGTAGTCATTGAAAATAGGTGTCGCAAATCAATGTGATGGTTGTTCTGTCATAATTATGTCAAAAGTTTTGTTATGTGCTGGTGTGACACATAAATGAGTCCCACAAGTCTAATTAAATTAAAAATAAATTAAAATAATAATTAATTAAAAAAATTGTCAACCTAGAAACCTAGTCCCGGAATCATCTCTGATCACAACCCACACTCCTCTACCTCCATCTATGGTAGCCTTCTCCGTCTCTTCTTAGGAAAAAAAAATCTCAAGACATCCATCTTTACACCATTCGACACCCTTCACCGAATTAGACCAGGATTGAGACCACCTTTGGTGACGGCTTTGATTGGTGACGACGTCTTTGACAATATTGTTAACATTTGGGCAATCGACATCCTCATAACCTAAATCTTGGAGAAGTTTTTGGGCGCTCCTCCGGTGATCTTGGTGACGAGGAGAACGATGAGTTCTGCCTTGAGATAATCCCATTGTGCAAAAAGGTATTTTGACCATTTTTTTAATTAATTATTAAATTATTAAACCACATCAGTACATAACAAAATGTTTGACTGAATTGTGACAAAATGACCATATTGATTTGCGACACCTATATTCAAGGACTACATTGATTGATTTTCAATTTTGGAGACTGTTGTGTTCCTTCCTAGTGCAAAAATATGGTTAGTATAATGGCACAAGTAAGGGTGTCGAACCACAGGGACTGAGTGTGTGAAATCCCATTCCCGGATTTCACTGTTATAATCTACGTATTTGTATTATTGAGATTTTATATTATTTCTCGAGAATTTATTTTAAATTGTTTGGATTTAGATTTCAATTTAACTAGTTACGAAGAGTGAAGCTTGGAAAATAATTATTTAAAATTCGTTGACCTTTTGAGGTCACAAGTAACGTTTTTGAATAGGTCTCAAAGCCACAAGAGCATAGGCAAAAGCCGTTTGCGAGTCCGAGTTATAACGGTATAGTTACGAGCATTTGAAGTTGTGATACTATAGATTTTAAAAATTATTTAGACTCCCACTTTGTGGGAAAGAGAACCAATCAGATTTTTAAAAGGTTAGGAACTGCCCAATCAGGAGAGTGGGGGAATGAGGGAAATGAGAGAAAAAGAAGAAGGAAAAAGGGGTCGGGTCGAACGGACCCGTGAACCCCAGCCATCCATTCGGCTTTTCCGACGGTTTTTCCGGTGAATTCCACCAAAAACTCAATTAGAAAACTTCCCCACAACCTTCCTTCTTTCTCTTGCACCTCAAAAATCAAGGGTTTTGGCCTTGAAAATGGGTGAATCCGCACGGTAGGGTGTGGTGGTGTTGTGTTCGAATCACCCAAATCTGAAATGATTTCATCAAATTGCCACCACCATTAGACTCCCCGTGAAGCTTGGAACAAAGCCCAAGTAATGGTTGAGGCGTCGGAGTAGCTTTGGAGTCGAATCAAGAACACCCAAATTCAAGGGTTTTCGGCGGGTTTGAGTGAAATTGAAGTGTTTTCCGGCCAAATTGGACTTAGTCACAGGTATAAAGTTTGCTCCACTCTTCATTTCTGTAATTTTTGGTAATTTTTAAAAATAGTTGAATTTTTCGGCAAGTCGGGACAGCCGACCGCCACCCGCGACGGCGAGTGTGGTGGTGGCCTGGCCAGTGGGCCAACGATGTCCTTTTAAGTTCAATTAGATGCCCTGATTTCATAATTGATATCCCTATGATATGGTTTGATTGTTTGAATCTAATTTCATTTCGATACGTGGTTAGGTCAAAATATGATTCGACGATCCGACCGTTGGATCATCACCAAACCTTAATGCGTGATAGAACATAATATTTTTGGATCATAGAAACTTACGGATCGATAATCCGATGTACGGATCTTCCCTAATTGGATTTCTAAGTTGGTAAAATTAAATGTCGACCTCCACTTGAATTTTGAAATTGGCGAAGATCCGACCGTCAGATCGTGTTGAGATTTTAATATGTTGTTATTTGAGCATAATGTGGACTTTGGAAGTTACAGATCTGAAATCCAATATGTGGATCTTCCGGATTGAATTATGGACCCTACCTTTGACCGGGAGTTGACTTTTGGTCAACTGTCTCGAAACGTCCTAATTACTAAAATTAGTACTACGGGGGACTAAGTGAAGTCTAGTGGGCCTACATTTGTTAGAGAGTGACTTGAATATATGTGATATGGTTATTACCTTAATTTCCTATGTTAGTATCCTTTGTGAAGGTGAATTGGTTTTATAAATGTGATTTCTATTGAAATGTGATTTTTATATATTTAGCCAAAGCCCTATGATTATTAAACATGATTTGGCTTGGTACTGATGATGGTTGTGGCATATGTGAGTTAAATTATCTTTTTAGTAATGTGATTCTTGTGTATGATTATTTTTATGATAATGTGATCCTAGAATCCTATTAGAAGTGTATTGTAGCACTTATATGCTTGGGTGACATATTAGTGGTGACCTTGAGAAGTTGATGGTGTAGATGATTACGTTGTAACTCATAAGGGTTGAGATGTGGATAAGTTGAGGTGTTGAATTTACTACACCATGTAGTACTTGTACATTGGTGGTCCTGCTCGGTATATCCGCGTTCGGGGACCATATGCATTCTAGAAGTGAGGAGGATTAATTGTACTCGGTACATTTGATGGGGGAATCATATGCTTGTTTGGATTTCGTTAAGTGATGTTCTGGAATCGTATCCTGGTTCGAATTCCGTTTGAGTGGTCTGGAATCCCTTTGGTGTCTTGTCTTGGTCCCTTGGATTTGTTTTCAGCTTCAGAGATGTAGGCTTCGGCCGAACTGTGTCACTCTAGCCCTACTTTTCATGGTGTTGTATGAGATTATGATTATGAGCTGTTGTGATTTGTTTCAGACGAACCGTTGGATGTCCGGGTGACTCCTTCGGAGTTATTAGAGTTCCTTGGTTAAATTTGTAAAATGATATGTTACTGCATTCATTGATTAAACAATTAAATGCTAAGCTCACGTATCTTTGATTCATGATTAATTAATTGATGTGATTGTGGAATGACGTTGGGTATGATTGAGATTATTATTATTAGAGTAATTGATTTATGTGACTTGAGAATAACATTGTGCTTCGTTGGTTCTTTGATATGTTACATATTATGATTGTGGTATTATGTGAGACAGAGTGATTTATATGATGGAGGAATTGGAAAGTATTTGTGT